ATATATATATATATATATATATATATATATATATATATATATATATATATATATATATATATATATATATATATATATATATATAAAGAAAAATCCAAAACTCGGAAATCGAAAAGGGTTGACGAACCCACTAAATGTCGACCCGATCGATGTGGCATGTGGCAAATCGAACCAAGCATTCGGTGTCGGTGACATAAACAATATTAACAATAAAAAACGATAATAATAATAATAATAACAATAATTAACAATAACTAATAATAATAATAATAAGAGTTTGACTAGCGTTAAGGATCTATCGAGTTAGGTTAATGTATGGGTCGAGCAGGAGGATATCCAACCTGCATAGGTCGAAGAAGTTTGACCAAACGAATCAGAATCTAATTAATGGTTTTTGTGTATTTAATATTTTATTTCAGTTTGCAACGAATTAGAAGGATTGATATCAAATCTGAATCGGATATCGATCCGATCAAAGTCTTTGATCATCAATCGATTCATTGACCCGTCAGCGCATCAAAGGTAAATATCACGTTTACAATTTACCGCATATATTTTTAACTATAAAGGTATATATATATATATATATTTATATATTTAAAGTTGTCACGTAATTTTCTTTATATATATATATAAATATCATAATTCCTTTATCAGGAATTATGAGATTTATGCTCGATATAATTTTGTTTTTCTTTCCCTAACCGACCTCCTCAAATGAGCTGTGCAGCCAAAGCGAGGCAAAGCGTACGAAACTCTGTAAAACAGGAAGGAGGAGAAGAAGAAGGTGCGAAGCATCGCGGAAGCCTACGCGGTATTCCCCACCTCGGGAACTTTTACAGACGTCAGACAGCGAAAGAGAGGGAGAGAGAGAGAGGGAGGTGTGTTTATCCCACCCTACGTTCCCTGCTCAATTCTTTGCTTTTCTTGATCTTGGAACTCTCGCTGGTTCTTGGTGGCCTGCCGCTCGCGCCTGAGACCCTCGTTTCTTGATGCTCAGCGTGCGACCGTGATCCCTCGGCGCGACCCGGTGTCATCTCTCCTGCGACGACAGCATGCCCCCCTCGCCCGCCCCGTACGTCCGGCAGAGGGATGAGGAAAGCGGCGGCGGCGGCGGCAGCGGCCGTCGAGCCTCCGGCGATGGCGACGGCTCGTCCGGCGATTGGTTCGACATCCCTGCCAAGAACGCGTCGGTGGAGCGCCTCAGGCGGTGGAGGGTAGGTTTCCTTGACCCTGTAGCCGGTTCTTGATGAGTAGGCGCCTCCGTGCGGTGGTTGGGGTTGTTTTTCGGATCGGAATATGACAGAGCTTACATCGCCGAAGAAGAAATTAAGTACAAGGTTATATTTGTAGTGATTTGAGGGTGAGAACTTCGTCAGATGGGAATATTGGAAGCCAAGCGAGCGCCAAGAAATTGAAGATTTCTTGAAGATTTGATGTGCATAGATCGAGGTCGAGAGGGTTTGCCCAATGCGTAGATGTTTTCGAGTTCGCCATGGTTGTTTGCATCGTTAACAACTTGACACATCGATTGGTCATTTTGAGGAGCGAGAAAAGAAGTTCGAGTTTCTATCATCGTTAACAACTTGGCATATCGATTGGTCAGTTAGGCAAAGATAAATGGAGTTTGAAATTTCAAACACTGTTGGATGGAATAGAGAACAAACCAAGTAATGATAAAATAAGCCGTCTTAAAAAGTTTTTCCCATATTATATATAATATGATACAATTTTCGTCGTCATTAATTATTTTTATTTACAAGAGAATTTATATTTCAAGATAATTTTTATTTTATTTGTGTATGAAAGGATACCATTTTATTTGTATATGAATGAATTTATGTTTCATTGCAGTAGGACTCAGATCTATAGTTCTCTGGGCCATATTGTCCAAAAAATGGAGAAGTCGTGTATTTGGCTGAATATTTGTTTATCCTGAAATACCGGTGAGAATAAGCCACACGACCTTTTTATCTCCACATTGACGGGTTGGCTTCTGACATTTCTGATTTCTTTTATTTTAAAGGACTTTCAACTTTGAGTTCTGAATCATTCACCCGTGTTGAAAAACTCACCCCTACTCCAGTGATTTTTGACCAGACTAAGGGATTTATTTGGTATTTTGTGTTTTAGGAGCTTGTGAACCATAAACAAGTCCAGTGTTAGCATTAAAACCTGAAACTGATCCTTTTGTGCTGACTTGGGTATCCCCTAATCTTGATCACTGAATCTGTTACTGTGATGCTGAGGGCCATATGCTTGCATACTGTATGAACGCTTAAAAATTTGAGAATAGTGGCTTTGGAGTTTTGCATTTATCAATATGCTGAGGTCAATATGTTACCGATCTATCAGGTGATAATGTTGAACTGTAGTGCTTGATTTCACCGGAAAACATATAAGAAAAATTGAACTCCGACCTATACCAATCTATATGGTTTGATACTGGTCTCTGTTCAGACCGGTAAATACCAGCCTATCCATACCGATCGAACCGATGTTTCGTTCCTTGTATTTGACAATATGGTAAAGCACACAGTTTCTTCATTTGTGTAGATATCATTGAGGAACCTTTGGATTGTAGATTCATGTTTTTTCTTCTGATCATCAGGTAATATCATTATGCTGTGATTATATTTATTGTGTTTCTTTAACTGATTGTGGTTTTGATTTTGTTCTGGTTTGGACAGCAAGCAGTACTAGTGCTGAATGCTTCTCGTCGGTTTAGATATACATTGGATTTGAAGAAGGAGGAAGAAAAGGAACGGATAAGGAGTAAGATCCGTGCACATGCTCAAGTCATACGGGTATAGCAGCTAGCTCTAGGCTTAAAATATTGTATAAATCAACTTTTCTTATATTGCTAATTATCTTTGACTTTCTCAGGCAGCATTTCTCTTTAAAGCAGCAGGGGAGATGGCGAGATCAGGTAGCAATAGTCAACTTGTAACAATCTTAACTTTACTGTCACTTGTAAAAAAAAAAAAAGGAAAAGAAAAATGGGCGACCGACAATGGGGTTTCTTGGGTTGTTTTTATGCTGGTCTTCACTGACTGAAGTATTTATTATGTAATTATAAATTTGTGCTTTGGAGAGGAATGCACTTTCCAATAAGTTTGCCTTCAACCGTCTTCTTTTGCCTCCAATGGTCTTTGCTGTTCAAATTATTAATGTTCCTTTTTTGCTTCATGTTTTTTGGTAGTTCTAGTTGTTTGTCTAATATCTGTTATTTGGAATTAGAATTTTCAAGTTTCTGATCTTTTCTTAATACTCACTATTAAAATTTTATTTGGCTTTCCATCATCTTTTTCTGAAATGTTCTCATTCCCGCTTGTTAAATATATTTATTTTCATCCGTAATCCAGGCACTCCTGCTTTACCAAAACTTCCTTCTGGTGGTTTTGGAATTGGAGAGGAGCAGCTTACTAAAATGACTAGAGATCATGATTTCTCATCTCTACAAGAATATGGTGGGGTAGGTAATTCTTTTTAAGGAAGTGGTTCTTGTTAATGAGTATCTTTTGCTACATCAATTGAGTCATCATTCGGCCATTGCTTTAGGTTAAAGGTCTCTCCGATTTACTAAATACCAATATAGATAGAGGAATAAGTGGCGATGATGCAGAAATTTTGCACAGGAGGAACATTTTTGGGTCAAACACTTATCCTCGAAAGAAAGGAAGGAGTTTTTGGGTATGTTATGCTGTGATTTAACAATTCATTACATGATTTTTCCAAGGCAACTAAACATTTATTTTTATGCTTCTTCTTTTAGGTTTTCCTTTGGGAAGCTTGCCAAGATTTAACTCTTGTCATTCTTATCGTAGCCGCAGTTTTATCGTTGGTGCTGGGCATAAAGACAGAGGTAAGGTTGACTTTGTCATATGCTGGATTAGAAGACTGAAAATTTTCCCTAGGTTTGCCTCTAATAGAATGCTTGAATAAAGGCTCTTACCTGTATAACTCTTTCCTTGTTCTTTTCTTACCACCTGCTGCTACCATTTGACATTGTATGACACCACAAACTGTAATATTACCCTGGCCTATACACTTAAATTTTAACTCTCGTAGGCCTTGCTTCATATTGAGTTTTTGTTGAAATTATTTCACAAAACACCATTTTTTAAGAAGGTAAAAACTTTGGCGATCACTTACTGGTGTCCTTCAAGCATCAATAACCCTTTCTTCTGCTTAAACCACTTTTAGTAGAAGTCAATGTACTAATTGCACTTAAGAAGCTCCTAACAAATATGGGCACTAAAGGTATGCTGTTTGATTTGTTTGTCACTTGTTTATTTTTGTTCTATTCTGTGACACATCCAGGGCATTAAAGAAGGTTGGTATGACGGTGGAAGTATTGCATTTGCTGTTATTCTGGTTATTGTGGTCACAGGTATGTTTCTCTTGCTGTTTTAAGTTACTTTTAGTCTTATATCCTCTAATGTGGCCATGATGCTGTCTCAGTCAGCACACTGCTGCTAGCCATTAGTTGTCAAAAGTTCTCTCAGTCCTTAGTTGGCACTGATGACACATCTGCAAGTGCCTGTACCATTATGGCAAGGTTTAAAGGTATTGCTGGCAACAACTGCTAGCATGTTAGGAAACAATTCAGCCTTCCTAAATGATAGGAAACAACTGCTAGCAAGTTATCCCCGAGACATTGTTGAAAATTTGAAGTTATGATTTTGAGAACTTCTGAAGATTGCTAAGTGTGTGAAAAAATTTCATCACGTAAATTTAGTAAATGAAAGAACACGAACTTCTGGCAGTTAATAGTTGAGCAGGTGAAGAAAGCTGGTTTAGAAGCCTTTAATGTTTGCTGATCAATTTTATTAAGAATTATTGGCAATTTGAGTTCTAGTGAATGCACAGAAAATCTTTGGCCATCATCATTACTTGCATAGACATGGAATGAGCAGAAAATTTTATTCTACATTGTGTAAAAAGTAAATGCTTGCATGCTTATGCACCTGCTTGTCACAGGGATGTTCATCTTGGTCTGAGCCATTCTTTTTGGTTATGGAAGAAATAAGTGCTGTTGGCAAATTTGAACAATGCAACAAAGCCTGTTAAATTATGCTAATCCTCAATTATGGTAGATAATATTAAAGTGGAATTTAAGGATTACTTATTTTTTATGCTTTGTAATTATTTCTATGATATCATTGCTGATCTACCTCTGTTGAAGAAAATATTGTTAAATTTCAGTTGTTAGAATTGTTCTCCTTCATGTCATATATCATAATTGAGATGTTTGGTTCTTTGGCTTTCGTTGGAGTAAGTGCCTTTTGCCTCTCAGAGAAATTCAGATGCTGCGGCTAAATATCCAGCATGATAACCCCTGCAGGCATTATCATTAAGTAATCAATTTTTTACTCTAATTTTGTGGTGAGGCAAACATGGGTTGTGTTCCTTGTTGTCTTTTAAGACAAAATAGCCTGTGACGTGAGAAATGTTCATTTCAATTTTGGGTTTATAACAACATCCATTGGCGTCTTTTAAGTGTTGTTCTTTTTTACTCTTTTGTGTTCTTCAGCGGTCAGTGATTATAGACAGTCACTACAATTCCAGAATCTGAATGAGGAGAAGCGAAACATACGATTGGAGGTGAGTCCTAGTGCCCATGAAAGTGTTCTGGATTTTTCTGTTCTTTTTCATTGTCATCTACCTTAATATGTTGTCACATGATCTCAGGTAATTAGGAGTGGTAGAAGAATTAAAGTCTCCATTTTTGATCTTGTGGTTGGTGATGTCGTTCCTCTTAAGATTGGCGATCAGGTAGCCGTGCTGCAGTTACTATACTATTTTGCTATGTTTTGTCTGTGTTTTCATTGTTAAAAGGCAAAATGAATGAATGTCTTCTAGGTTCCTGCTGATGGGGTTGTAATAACTGGTCATTCTCTTGCTATTGATGAGTCAAGTATGACAGGGGAGAGCAAAATTGTAAGTTTCTCCTTATCTTTTTTTGTTGACATTGTTGTGACTTTTATTTTCATATTCTGGCATTCAGAAATTTCTTTTTCGATATATCATTCTAACCCTTTTAAGCAACTCACATTTTTGGAGAAGGTATTTAATGTTATTTGTTTTTAAATGGATATTTCTCATATGGCTTCACAAGATTAGAACACCATGAGTTCAATGGCCAACTCTTTTCTAACAGATGAAGGCAATTTATATATAATATGTAGTGAGTAATCATTCTAAGTAAAAAAGATTTGGTTTATAGCTTTCATAGAAATGTTTCGTCAGATATTGACATCTTAAAGCTATTTCAATGTAACCCATGAAAAATGTTGACAGTGTGTGTAATTGTGAAAAATCTGAATGTGTCTACTTGTTTATCTTATTTTTCTTGGGGATGGTTCCTCAATACTATATTTTTGTTGCAGGTCCACAAAGATCAAAAAGCTCCATTCTTAATGTCCGGATGCAAGGTTGCTGATGGTTATGGTGATATGTTGGTAAGTATTTTGTTTGTTGATTCCTTTTGGATTTTTCTTCTCTTTCAGATCATTACGTTGGTGTACTTTGAGAGATGATATTGCTTTAACTTGTTTTAGTAATGACTGCCAAATAAATTAAATTTCTTCATTTCTTTTCATTTTTGTCGGATCATTAACTTGTGTATTTCATCTTTTGTGAATTATGTTTTCTAAAGACAAACAGCTGCATAAGCTTTCACATCACTTTCTTGAATTAATGAGTTAGTAAAATATATTGTACATGTTTGACTTTAGTGAAGGTGAAAGAGAGAGATGAATCTCCTTGATAAAACAATTTTTTTTCTTCTGTTTGCAATGGGCAATCCCTGTTGGTGATTTCTTTAAACTTATGGAGTTGGGAGTCTTGTCAACCATTTTCGTTTTTCTTGTGGGTTGAAAAAAAGAGATTGTAGCAAGCAGGGATAGTTTATTCTGTACGCGAGATTAAGCCCTTTTGCATTCATGTCAATTTCTTGTATGAGAGGTCTGGTTATAATACAATCAACATTTAAGCTTTTTTTTCCAGTCGATACAACTATGATTTGATGTCTTTCTTGTCATCTAGCTGATCAAGATGAATATTCATGAGATGGATTTTCAATTATCTAAAGGAACTTTGTTTCAAGCCATATTTTGTTTGTTGAAGATGTTATGGACAAGTAGGATAGAATATGTCACTAAATGAAATAGATACTTGTGGTTTTTGAGAAACTAAGTTTTATTACAAGCCCCGGGTAGTCTTAGAGGTTGAACTCCAGGGGAACTCCAGTCGATAAGGGTTTATGAATTTTAGTGCTTAAAAGATAGTATGATGCAACATTTTGAAATTTGGCACCAATCTAATGCACAAGGTTTTTTTTGCTTTGGTAAGGCTTTTGCTGAGTCTCTTCTATCAACTGATAACAACTATACTTGGTTTTTATGTTCAATTCAAACTTATTAAAATATTTCAACTTTTGTTAATATATTTAGATGGTCTGATTTCACATAAATTAGAAATTTATTATTAGCATGGTACCTGTAGTATATACTTAATTTTGTTGCCTTCAGGTAACTGCAGTTGGGATAAATACTGAATGGGGCTTGTTAATGGCCAGTATATCAGAGGATACTGGTGAAGAAACTCCACTGCAGGTTTGTTTCACATGCATTCTTTATCATGTAATTTCAAAATTATGCATTTTTTATTTTTCAAATCCTTTTGTTTGGAATAGGTGCGGTTGAATGGCGTTGCTACTCTCATTGGCATGGTGGGGCTAACTGTAGCTGCTGCTGTTCTCGTAGTCCTTTTGGCGAGGCAAGTAATATTTTGTTTTACAGTTTGGTTACAATATTTGCAAATCTTAATCTCTATTTGAAATCTTTTCAGATACTTTACTGGGCATACAACGAATCCTGATGGTTCAGTTCAATTTATAAAGGGACAAACGGGTACAAAGACTGCTATAAATGGAGCCATTAAGATCTTGACAGTTGCAGTATGTATTTTGTAATGTCAATATTATTAAGTTTTATTTAAACCCATCTTGTATTTTACTCCCTTTCATTTCTTCATCTCTTTGCTTTTGTGAGCTATATCATCCGTTGCTATTGAACTTGAGTAGGTGACAATCGTGGTTGTTGCGGTACCTGAGGGACTTCCTTTGGCTGTTACATTGACGTAAATATGCATAACCCTTCTTACGTCTTGCATAATATATATTGTATTTTCATTATGTCCACATTTGATTTATTTCTTCGAGTATATCAGCCTGGCTTACTCAATGCGTAAGATGATGGCGGACAAGGCTCTGGTAAGTGTCTGTATTATGCATGATTGCAAAACTGTTACATGCGCAAGTACGCTAGTTAGTTCTAAGTTGATCATTCGCAGGTACGTAGGCTTTCAGCGTGTGAAACTATGGGTTCAGCTACAACCATTTGTAGTGACAAGACTGGAACCTTGACTTTGAATCAGGTTTGCCAGTCAGCTTTCTCATAGACTTAGTCTTTCATTATGTATAATCAGTAACTGCATGAAGTGATTGAAACGGTTAATGCCATTCGATTCTTAGTATAGTTTTAACATTTTAGATGACTGTTGTGGAGGCTTATGTTGGTGGAAGGAAGATAGATCCTCCAGACAATCCTGAGCTGTTATCTCCTACTGCATCCACTCTTCTAATTGAGGGAATCGCTCAGAACACAACTGGCAGTGTTTTTGTGCTAGAGGTAAACTACTTTCTTTTGGTGTGATCAAGTGTTCTGTCCTTGTTTGCTACGTTAGAAGTTTAAAATGGAGTTTTTTTATCGAGACTTACTAAGTGTTATGTTATCCTTTTCATTTCTTCATACTAATTTGATGTGTAAACCAACTTGTGGGTACCAATTGATACCTAGAAAGATTGTAATTTGATGGTCTTGTTGGAATAGTTGCTGTCATTAGGTGACTAAACGAAGGGACATGAGAGCTCATTACTTCAAATTTCTTTAGCACTTTAGCAGGCACTACTTGTTCCACTTGGACATTCCTCCAGGCAAAATAGAATGAACCAAAATAATCATCCAGCTGTATTATCATGGTGTTTAATTGCCGTTCAAGTGCTTGACTCCATAATTAACAATTTTAGAAGCATCTAAACTTCATCATGAACCATTCATAGATTCTGCTTTGTAGCAGTGGTTATTGGAGATATGGAATGATGTCATGACTCATGGATTTGGCTTGATACATGTCAAAACTCAAGAAATAGAAACATCGCTTGCAATATTGATGCACTGGAAGAAGCCATGGTGCTTCATTTAATTTTGTGTGTACAAGAATCTCATTACTTCATTTAATTTTCAATTTTTAGTAGTTAATGAGCCAATTTACTGGGTGGTCGAGGATGAGACATCATCTATTAGAATTATGTGTAATCACAGTGGAATTCAATGGAAGTAGATACAGGACCCTAATATGAAAATTTTTTTTTTGCCTTTGCTTGTGAATTCTAGAAATGGACGAGGAAGAAAATAGCTTGTAAATTGGGTAGACTCAAGCTTTCGACAATTTGGTGATAGCAGCATATTTTTTTTTCTTCCTGATGATTGACCTGGATGTTAATGTAATTATATTGGAGCCTTCTGTCTAACCCTTCATTGAGTGCAACTATTTGGATAACATTTTTTTCTTGAATTTCACAACTAATGTAGTGAGTTACTTCATACTTCACTTTTGTTTAAAGGATGACACTTTGTTTCTCAAGCATCTCATTTGTTCTTTGGCTATCTTCTCAATGTCTGTAGATGCCATTTTTTACCCCCAGACAATGAGATGTTTGGTCTCTTTTTTGTGTTTTTGCTGGATGTATTCAATAAAAACACTGCTTTGCAACATGTAAGTTTTTGACTAGATCGTCTGTTGACAGACTGGTGTTGTTGATGTCACTGGCTCACCAACCGAAAAGGCCATCCTCTCTTGGGGTGTTAAGGTATCTTGGTTCTTGTATATGCTGTTATTTTCCTTTTTTAGCTATTTCCTCATCAGTTGCTGACTTGCTGCTCATTTTCCAAAGCTGGGAATGATATTTGATGATGCAAGATCAAAATCTTCAATTGTTCATGTATTTCCTTTCAACTCTGACAAAAAACGTGGTGGTGTAGCAGTGTATCAGGTATTGACGTTTATCACTAATAGAAATACAGGATTGATAGTGCACCTGTTAAGAATGATTTGTGAGTTCTTTTCTTTATGCTGGAGAGTTCTAAAATACATCCTTTTTCCTACATGCATTTATCTGCAGTGTATAATTTAAAAATAATTTATGAGTAATTTCAAGATTGCAAGTTTTATTCTCATGGGTTCCTTTCTACTTGTCGTAGGGAGGTGATGACATTCATGTGCACTGGAAAGGTGCTGCTGAGATTGTCCTGGCCTCATGTACTAGTTGGCTTGATGCAGATGGCTTCAAGCAGCCGTTGACATCAGACAAGGTAATGAAGTCAAGTTCTTGCCTTCCCATATTTACAAGTAACGCATATTTTAATTCATCTTGTCATTGCAGCTTAGTGAATTCAAGAAAACAATTGAAGACATGGCAGCAGCTAGCCTTCGTTGCATTGCTTTTGCATACAGGTTATATGAATTGGAGAGGGTCCCAAACGAGGAACAGAGAGATAGCTGGCAGTTGCCTGAGGATGACCTGATTCTGCTTGCTATTGTAGGGATTAAGGTGCATATCATAAAATGCTTATGGCAGTACTTCAGATATTACTGGGGGTCCCACTTGCTGATATTGGACATATGTCTGTAGATTTTATGCTTATGGCAGTACTTCAGATGTTATTTTCTCATTTGTTTAGATTATATGCTTATGAAGAAAGAAGTTATTGGGTAGCTAAAAAAAATATAATTTTGAAGTTATACAATGAACCAGACAGAAAATCACATCGAATGGACAACCTGTGTGATGTGATCTTTATAGGGATTGCAAATTTTGTGCAATTGTTTCTGTTATGTTGGTAATATTAAAATTATTTTTTTGCATATTATATCTTTGGAGCTTTTGATACTGGTTATATGACATTTGATCATTAAACCATCTCTTGTATCAACCTGATCCAAATTTTATTACAAATCAAGAATTTTCCCAACTGATTAGGCTATTATATTGGCATCCTTACTTTATAGTGAATTAATTGGTCATTGTGATATTATTTATTTGGCTTCTCAATACCCGTTCTATCTCAAATTCTAGCTTATTACAGCTAACCATCCATCTTCGGTGGCATAGGAAATGCTAACATGCATTTGACCTCTTATATCATTTATTTCTTTTAGAAACTGATTGTATTTTTTTAACTTCTTTTGACAACTTCAGGATCCTTGTCGACCTGGTGTCAAAGCGGCTGTAGACTTGTGTACCCGTGCTGGTATCAAGGTACTTCCAGTTATTCTTTATCGTGCATTGTAATTTAATTAAATTTCAAGGGTGGCATGATGTGCCCATGCCAGTCACCCATTGCCATGGTTTACCAGTGTGTGTATTATTCTGTGCAATTATTAATGCTGGTCACATGCATGGTACTGGCTCCATAACTGGTGCTTTATTCCATAAAAAATCTTTGACCTCAATGGACTAGAGTACTAGTTGTAAATATAAAATCGGTTTCTATGACTGATAATGATGATATTTGTTCTCATATATTACTAGGTAACTGACATTTTACAGGGTTGCTCTTTACATTGACAAAAGTAGACAAACTTTTGCTTCATTTTTCAATGGTCTCAACTCTATCTATGCATATAATCTTTGATCATCCAGAAAGTTGTATGGGACCCACCTTGTTTTTTAAATTGAATTGTTCATAATTTCGACTTTGAATTTCCATTTGTGTATGATAGGTCCGCATGGTTACTGGAGATAATCTTCGGACTGCTAAAGCTATAGCCTTGGAGTGTGGGATACTTGGGGATGCCAATGCACAAGAGCCAGTTATTATAGAGGGAAAAACATTTCGGACCAAGACTGATGCAGAAAGAGATGCGATTGCTGAAAAAATAACTGTAAGTTAAATATTCTTTTTTACTAATGCTTATGATTATTTGCCTTGTGTTTCCTCAGAGAATGGTAGGGTAACAAAATAGAGAATCTGTTTTTATTAAACCCCTTCATTGTATGGGACTAATTGTTAATAATCTAAGGAAACAAAGTTAGGCTTTTCTCCCTATATATATATTTTCAATTCCATTTCTCAGATTATCTTAAGATGCTTCATAATTCACGTCCCCAGTCCTTCTGTGCAAATCTTTGTAGGGTTATGTTTGTTTTTACTTTTTACATTTTTTTTTCTTTTCATAGCCAACAAAAACTGGGACAATTTCATCCTCATTTAACTTATTCCTGTGTTAGAATGATTGACTTTCTAAGCTATTTCATATTATGTGAGCCTTTTGCTCACTTATAGTTACTAATCAAGGTTATGTTTAAGGCTACTAATTTGTTATTGTTAATTGTGTACATATAAATAAGACAAACCTAAACATTTTAGGCTTCTTCTTGCTTGGCAATTTTAGATATAGCATGCCAATTTGTCGTAACTGTACACACAATGATATTTCTTAAATCTATTCGAAGTGTTTCAAGCATTACAAGCAATTGTCTATCTGTATCCTTATTTGTGTTAACTTATATAAAGCATATTGTTTTCATATTGTGCTCATCTAGTGCTGCAATCATAATTTAGTTGGATGTTTAAACATGTAAAATGTTTTATGCTATACATAATTACCACATGGAAATGGCATAATGTGAATCTCTGTAGCATGTCAATACTTTTACTAAATAGATGTTAACTGTAGAACTCGTCCTGTAATTCAATGATTTATAAGATTAGTTATATACAAATGTTTTCTCAATCTTTACTAGGATCTTTGCTTCAGATGCTTCAATATCTCTGTAATTCTTCTCCTTCGAAACATTCCTGATCTACTTTAGTTTACATTCGATGATTTGATTTGATATGTTGTGCCTATTGCTTCTCATTGAACAAGACACTGCTGCTTCCTGCTATCAGTCTTAAATATCATTACATTACCTGTCAAATGGTTATTTACCTAAACCTGATTTCTTTACAGGTGATGGGGAGGTCTTCTCCGAGTGACAAACTGCTGCTTGTTCAAGCATTGAGGAAAAGAGGTCATGTTGTTGCTGTAACAGGGGATGGCACTAACGATGCTCCTGCATTGCATGAGGTCTTTATTCATGTCTCTGAGGTGTTCAGGTCGTCTTGTATGATCACTTATTCTTGATGTTTCTGGTTTGCAGGCAGATATTGGTCTTTCTATGGGCATTCAGGGAACCGAAGTAGCTAAAGAAAGCTCAGACATCATTATCCTTGACGACAACTTTGCATCGGTTGTAAAGGTACTTGTGTGTTTATCTTTACGGTAATGCTAAATTAAGTGAAATCTTGCTTCAGCTTAAGCTTATGTTGTTCCACATTGACTGATATGATTTCTTTGTTTTTTTCTCTTTCCTTTTTCTTTACCCTGCTGTTCCAGGTTGTCCGTTGGGGTCGTTCTGTGTATGCAAATATCCAAAAATTTATCCAGTTCCAGCTGACTGTCAACGTTGCAGCACTTATTATTAATGTTGTTGCTGCTGTCTCCTCTGGCAACGTTCCTTTAAATGCTGTCCAGGTTGGATGATCTTCATCCACTTAATAATCTAGTTTAAGTAAAAGTTCATGATCACCAATCAAAATTAATATGGCAACACCTATTAGTTGGGCACTCGAGCTTTGAGCTTCTAATATAACAAAGACATGATGCTTGTCAAGTTGCAAAATTTTGTCATTGATAAAATAGAAGATAATGCTGACTTAAATTGCAATGCTTAAATGATGGTACATGGTTGACATGTTTTTCTTTTTTCTTATCCTTTTAAAATGGGATATATGCAAAAATCACAATTTTGTTTTACACATATAAGTCATTTAGGCTGCACTTTTGCAAGATTGCTAGCTGTACTCTTTAATCTTCCTTGGTGTTGTGTCCTATAGAGCCTTACTGCTTATTTGTTCAAACAGCTTCTGTGGGTCAACCTCATCATGGACACACTTGGAGCACTGGCATTGGCAACTGAACCACCAACTGACCACCTTATGGATAGAACCCCCGTGGGGCGGAGGTCATAGTCTCTTCCATTTACAAAACACTTGAAAGTTTCTGTGGCCCTGCATGCTTGTTTCTATCATATATTAGTAATTTTAATTTCTAGATTCTTTTTGTGCGTTCATGTATTCATGCTTTAGTTTTTATTAGCTTGGAAAAATTTATGCATGATGCTGGTGATTAAGCATGAATTAGGTGGTAGGCTGGTTTGTAAGAAGGATGAGAATCCATAGTCATATTATATTTGTAATAGCATAGGCATATAAAATTTTCAATGTTGACATTGGAAATGGCCATGCTGTCATTCTGATGGTACTTAAGGCAGTTCACACTACAGGATCCTTAGAACAACTAAATTCAAGACTTTGTGAGTGTTTAAGTAGATAAACAGGTAAAAGGAAAAGCAAGGATAGGATTTCATGCTTGTGAAGGACTAAACGTGGTCGTCAAGGGTGTAGAGCAAGGATTTTAATTTCGAATGATACCGCCGTATCGGGTGGTACACTGTCGATTGGGCTGTTTCCGCCCTGTTATCGTCCTAAATCGGGCGGTGACCGAAGGAGAAGAAAGAAGAGGGAGAAGGGGAAGAAAGAAGAGGGAGAAGAAGAGAAGAACCTGGAGATCAGCTCCGCTCTCCCTTGTCTGTTGGTGACTTCGCATCCGCACGGGGAGAAGAATCCTCGGCATGAAATCATCTTTGATCCTCTACATTTGACATAAAACACATATAGGCTAATAATACTAATCATTTGATAACATGCATATTTATGATTTAAATGTCCTCTTCTCATACCTAATTGGCTTTAGGAGAATAAATAGCATGACTATAATATACCCAATTGATAATTTAGGTATATGCAAATAAGGGGAAGATATATGCAAAAAAGAAAGGTTTTGAGGCACTTTCCCCTATGAACCTAAGTGGCCTATGCTTCTACTTGTGATTCTTCCCTTCTTGTTCAAGTTGTCTTTTGTCTATAGTTCTCCATACCCATATTTTAAGAATTTCATTCATTTCATGATTTTATGAAAAATTTTAAATTCTGGGCCTCTCTTTGAGTCATTTTTTGCATTTGTTATCATAATGCTAGAAAGTACTTTCTTTAAGTCTTGTCATGTAGATCAGGCAAAGTATTGTTTCTTCCCCCTGAATCCTTTGCCTGTCTTTCAGGGAACCACTTATTACAAATATCATGTGGAGAAATCTCATATTTCAGGTTACCAATCTCCACTTATGCTGATTTTGACCCATACTTGTTCTTTAAAGTTAATCCTCATTCCATCTAATATTATGGGCTTCATTTGATTTCATGTGATCAAATTGCCAGGCTTTATATCAAGTTACAGTTCTCCTTGTGCTCAACTTTGGTGGTAGGAGTATTCTGCATTTGAAGAATGATACAAGAGCACATGCAGATAAAGCGAAGAACACATTTATATTTAATACCTTTGTACTATGTCAGGTAAGTCTGGTTGTGTTACGAAATGCTATATTCATATCAATCTATTCAAATGATGGTTTCTGGGTAAATGATCAGAATCTTCCTTTCAGATATTCAATGAGTTCAATGCCCGAAAACCGGATGAACGGAATGTATTCCGTGGAGTCACTACTAATCGTCTCTTCATGGTGATAGTAGGCATAACTGTTTTGCTTCAGGTAGTTTGAGGGTCAAACATTTCGGATATATACATCTTGCTCGCTTTTGTGTTTGTGTTCGTGGTGCCATTTACTTAATAATGGGTGTTTTCATAGGTTTTGATTATCGAGTTCCTTGGAAAGTTTACTTCAACTGTAAGGCTTAATTGGAAGTTGTGGGTGGTTTCAATTGCAATTGCTTTTATAAGGTGAGTTTTGCTTACTGCAGGTTTGGCTCAATAAAATTTTCTTTTGACATTGGGCCTAGTTAAGTCTTAATGCAAGCTTATGATGGCTTCTGCATGTGCAATGTGCTTTAATAGCCTGACTGACCTCACTGTTCTACTTTGATGGCTACCGCATCTCTGGAACAGAGAGTCTGGTTTATGGAGCTTTTATGAAAGATATTTGTTCAACATATTCCTGTGGTTGTCTTTTCAGTTGGCCTTTGGCTTTTGTTGGAAAGCTTCTCCCAGTACCCAAGATGCCTTTCGAGGAGTATTTTGGTCGATGTTTCAACTGCTGTGGGAAGAGAGGTATACTCATGTTCAGTGTACTATTTGCTATGCTAAGGGCGTGATTGTTACCAGTTTTTCCTAGTGGAGCCCGTTTGGTTGGCTTCCTCCATGGCTGACACAAACTCTGCCTTGCAGATGACCAGCAGCAGCAGCACCACCAGCAGGCAGGCTCGGGTGCTCTGCCACAAGTGAATGGATCTTGAATACCGCAGGATACTCGCTGGCGTCACTGCTCTTTCTATCATCAAAATTACCAGTCTCGCTATATACATAAGGAGATGTGTTGATTATTTTATAGGATGAATCACATATGCTTTAGCTCAGCCAAGAAGACTTGATTCACTCTGATGCCCGTAATGGGGGGATAGTTTTGATGAATCTGACCGCTGTGATCCAGAAACAACAGTGTTAATGGCAGTCTCGAGATTGGCCTTCCATCCAAGTTTCAAGATGCCAGTTATTATTTTTTTCTTTTGCACAGTACTAACGCAATCTTCTTAGAGATTTTAGAACTTTTCTTACCCGTTTCATACTTGAGTTTAATGGACATGGCTCGAGTTACTCGATGTAAAAAGAAAAGATCAATACGTTCAGTGGTGAAATCTCATGCTTCTGATTAATCTTATACAAGATGAGGTGTCGTACGCCGTATCGAGTAACCTAAGTCAGTAAATGGAGGTGCTTTGAAACTTTCTTGTGTACCATAATTCCTAGTCTTGATAAGACAATAGAGACTCGGAGGAAAGCTGGAGCAACCATGTGGTAGCTTGTAAGTGCAGGTCAAAGTTGGAACGACGTATGGCGGCTCCCACTCTGGTTATCGTGTGCATGAAGTCTTCCAGTGTAGAGTGCACGGCGACACAGTCGTCATTTTCTTTTCTTTTACTAAACCGTATAATTTGAGAGTACGACGACGCTATTTTCATATTCAACTTAACATTAAAAAAAATAATAATAATAATAATGCTGTTTTCACGTTCATCTTAACATCAGAAAGAAAAGACGAGAGATCCCGCGAGAATCAGACTTTTGATCAAAGCTTTCGATTCTTTTATCTTTCTAACGCTTTTCCTTTTCTTTTTTTTTTTTCTTTTTTTTGTTGCTTGTTCTTTTTTTCTTCTAGACTTCCTAAAGTCTAATGTTGAAGATAACTTTGAGCAATACCGCAATAGTATGCAGCACGAACATGCATGATTGGTTCGAGGCACTTGTCCAGCTGCTTGTACAGATTGGAAGTCAACTGTCCTCGGCTGTACAAAAAAGTTGTATGAGCAGGTACCATAGTATGGACTTCTTCCTGTTGTCTAAACAATGCAGTTTTATTTGACTTTTCATTAGGTTCCACTAAGCTAAGCTTTAAGGCAGTCCAAATCCCATCACTTTAATACCTTCAAGTTGCTCCCTTTTCTTTATCCGGTGGAAGCTAGAGGTCATACAAATCCTCCACCATGTGCATTCAAACCATCTTTTAATCTTCCTAAAAGCAAACACTTGCCCAATTAACTCACATCATCATCTCTCGGCTAGAGAAAGTTGAGTGATTAGAATTTGAACAACGCAAAGCAAAAGTAACTAGGAATTGACCATAGGTTAGGTTAAATAAAGCCGTATCCATTAGATTTAACTCAGCTCAGCTATAAACTTAGCTTATTTGGCTAAGTCGACAAAGGATCGGTTTTCTCGTAACTTCATGTGGTCTACTATTTATCGCTTCAATGGGTATCTCGGGTTCACACAAAATATAATTGAATAGAATACTTCTTCATTAGCAACTAAAGATGATGATTATACTTAACTCACTCAGAATGATCATCTAATTTAATTGCATATTGAAAGTGGATTAAGAATTAGATTATATTATAAAATTTTGATGATATCTTATTGTTAACCTGAAGTTAAGCATTTTGAACCAATGATTCAGCTCAACCAGCACAATCCAATAGAGAGAGGGAGAGAGAGAATGATGCTGGATATGAAATGCCTTTCTTTTGCATTCTAAGAGAGAGAGAGAGAGAAATTTCTTTTTCCCTAATTATTTTTTGCAATCTCCAAAAAGCAGCTCAACTAATTTAAGGCACAATCTTATCATCCCTTGACATCACCTAGGTTATAATAATGTCTTTTCTTTTCTTTTTTGTTACTATAGAATCCCATCCTTTTTGTCTTCTTTGTGAGGGGGAATAGAAAAGAGTTTCTATGCTTTTCACAAGCTCTTGTCACATTCCTATCTGAAACTTCATACTCAATTCCGACGAGCATCATCTTGGAAGAATGCCAATTTTGAATCATCGAAAGAAATCATCTTGCAAATCGACACGCCAGTTTTGAACTCACTTCTACAAAGCTGATGACATCTAAAAGTAATCAAACATGGCGACTAATTTTCTTACTAAAAATTTGAAGTAGTCCTTACTAATTTTTTTTTTTTTTTTTCATTCTTGTATGCAACACACGTTTGACATGAAAGGGATTTGCATGTTGTCTGGTTTCCAATTTAATAAGTCAATTGGCCTATATGGTCATGACCTAAGCTAAATTAGATGGATCTTGCTATCTCAACTAAACCATGTTGATTGATTGCCCCTCATTATAATCATAAATTAGTCTGCTATGGTTAGTCTTTAGTTAGCCATAAATATGGCCAATTTATCTTAATTGGAGTCAGTCATCCTCTATAGACTAACACTTTTTTGTCTCCATAATTTGATGGTGTTTCATGGTCAAACCTTCAACATATCTACTCACTAATTTCATAACTAGGATCAAAATAGTAACATATGCATATGAAAACTAGGGTTTAATCTAATATATCAGATTGGGGACTAATTATTAATTACCTTTTATTGTTAGACTTCTTTATCATCCGCATTTATATACTTAAAAAATTTATATTGATATAAAGATGAAACATTTAATTCTATTTATCCTAGCATCATCGATTTGATCGACGGAACTATGAAAATGATGGACAAAAGGATAATTTCAACGTCCTAATACATTTTTTATGACGATGGATGATGATAAAAACGTAACCTAAATATTAAAATTATCATTTTATCCATCGTTTTTAACTTCCGTTAGTAAAATCAATGACGTTATGGTAAATGATACTAGATGTATCATTTTCGTAATTATAAAAATTCTAATATAATTTTTTAAAAAAATTTAATGATCAAAATATCAAGGAGGTAAGTGGGAAATAAAAGTATTAAAACAATGTCTACTTAGCATGCCACAGTATATGTCACATCTGAATTGCCAAAAAGTCATGAGAAAAATAATGCTTGAGAGGCACAGAAAACACAAAGAAATCTAAACTGCAAGAACAAGAAGCATGCATGTACAAACCCAAATCCAAAGCTTGCAACTTGCTACTTAATTGTGGGCAGAAAGCTCAGCATCAGCATCCTCGAAGCAAATACATGGGCCTCTCTCTCTCAAACAAGTCAACCCAAGTGACAAGGACCAACTTTCTTTAAACATGCCATCCATGTTCTCTCTCCTACATCAACCGGCTTGCACATCTAAATCCAATCAATATAATAAAATTATGTTCAAGTTGATATCAGACCGAAACAAATAAAATCATTAACCTAAACTCTGCCACTCACATGTGAAGAGAGTGCAAAAGATATAAATCTAGTCATGGCTGATGTGTTGGTAAATAACTTGGGATATCAGAGTAGACCAAACTTGTAACGTTGACTTTTCATTAGATTGTGTGAAGTTATTGTATTGAGAGATCCGTAGATATTCCTAATAGAAGATATTCCTCAACTACGAGGAAATTTCTCTATTCTGTTGAGAAAATTTTTTATTCTGTTGAGAGGAAAATCTTCTATTCTGTTGAGAGAAATCCTTTCGAAACATTAACGTTAATATATTGAAGCATTTTTTATTTCTTCAATAAAACTTCTTCACTTCTTTAATAAAACAGAGTCATCCGAAACCTAAGAACTGATAATATATAATCATACTTTCACAGATAATCTATACAGAAAAAAAATGATAATTTTATATCTTTTAGCAAATTCATGGAATTAAAATTCATCACTTGTCAAAAAATTCTCAATAGATTTTTCTTCAATGAAGAAATAGTACATCTTTTGATTATAAGAAAATGACTCTTTCTTGTCACCCATATGGACCGTCGAATCATAGGATGGAACGAGTCAGATGCCCCATCAAGGAAATTAAAGCCTTCTCCAATCCGTAAACGATCCTATTTACGCCACCGTCCCGTTATTCCCGGCCATCCTCCGTCCCTCAGCCGCCCAGGTGGGTGGAAGAGAGCGGGGTTGCTGCCGTTGACTTTTCCACGGGCGACGTGCCACTGTCCGGTCTGATGTCATGCATTCGTGTCACGAGACACGGTACATCCGTACGTACTCCCCCCGATCCCCACCTCTCCTGCCTTTTAAGCCTCCGCCCTCCCCCCGCCTCTCTCATCACCATCTCTGCGCGCCAACGTTTGCATCGCCATTCCTGGTTTCGCTGGCTGCGTTTCATAACCCCATCCGGCGCACTTTGGGAACAGGTGAGTCCTGCTATCTCCTCCCCTTCCATCGTCTGTCACCTGTGTCTCCTTTCGCCCTGTGTTGCCGTTACTGACGAGGTGGGTGGGTGAAGGGAGGAGATGAGGATGGAAGGGAAGAAGAGGGTGAGAGCCGAGGAGTCGGATGACGGGAAGAAGCCGCAGGAGTTGGACTTAAGTGGCATGTCTCTGGACTCGTTGCCCAATCCTTCCATTAATCTCGGCGCCATCGCCAAGCTCGATCTCTCGAATAATAACCTTCAGGTCAGTTCTTCGTGCTTCAGGTCTCTCTTTGTTGGTTCTGCGCGATATGGATTAGCATGTGATGGTCGTACGCAGTGCATTCCGGAATCGCTCACGGCCAGGCTACTCAACTTGGTGGTGTTGGACGTGCACTCCAACCAGCTGAGGGCGCTGCCCAACTCCATTGGCTGCCTCTCCAAGATGAAGGCCTTGAACGTCTCCGGCAACCTCATCGAGTCGCTTCCGAAGACCATCGAGGATTGCCGGTATGTCTTCCCTCGATAACTCTGGGAGAAGAGAAGAGTAGTCGAGAGAATTTAGAGTCTTCTCTTGTCGTCTGCAGGGCTTTGCAGGAGCTGATTGCCAACTTCAACCAGCTTACCAAGCTCCCGGAGACCTTGGGTTTTGAGCTCACCGACCTCAGAAAGCTCGCTGTCAACTCCAACAAGCTCGCCTTCCTCCCATACTCCACCTCCCACATGACCTCCCTCCGCGTCCTCGACGCCCGACTCAACTGCCTGCGCTCCCTCCCCGACGGCCTCGAGAATCTCATCCGGCTCGAAGTCCTCAACGTGGGCCAGAACTTCCACTACCTCCAGTCCCTTCCCTACGCCATCGGCCTCCTCGTCTCCCTGGTGGAGCTCGACATCAGCTACAACAGCATCGGTGCCCTCCCCAGCTCCATGGGGTGCATGGCGAAGCTTCGCAAGTTCCAGGCAGAGGGCAACCCCCTGGTGTGCCCGCCGATGGACGTGGTGGAGCAAGGCGTCGAGTCCGTGCGCGGGTACCTCAGCGCGAGGATGAACGGGAGCGACACGGCGGGATCTTCGCCCGCGAAGAAGAACTCGTGGAT